TGTGTGACAGTTACATAAATATATGTAGCTAAATCATATCTATCAAACCACAGATTAGATAGCGTAGCCCTGTGACATTCTGTTGTTGTAAACAACATTAGTTACTCATTCAGGAATGCCATAAGCTTTCTTTTTAATAAGACTTCGCATTCGGCTTCACATGGGTGCAATTCTGATTATAATTTTTACACTATTTAAGGGATGTTAAGATACATATAAAACTTCTTCTTTAATTCAATCTCTCTAAAAAAAAATATTAAAATCCGTTGAGTAGTTTTAAAGATTTAAGCATAGAAATACCTATAGGGACAGAGAAACCGACTTTGCTTCATACTACATACACATACTTCATACATAAATATTCCATAACCAGTGAGTAAACTCATTATTCCAATCTTGTTTACATAAAACTCACCCAAATAATACATTGCAGGCGCCGGCGACAAACATGCCTCCAGTAAAGAGAAATTTTGCGCCAACCGTCGGTAACTGCAAGAAGTGAATAGCACACACATTATCTAAATGTACACAAATTAGACAATAGTAGATAAATAAACTACGGGTACTGTACAATTGAAGGATCTACATAGTAATGGGAATTAAGACAATTTGGATATTGATGAGGGATGGCCCCAACCATAGTTGACGGTCGATCACTCCCTAAAGAATAGGAACTCGAAGTTCACAAACGAAGCCTTGGCTGGGGTCCTTAGCTTAGCACAGGGATTAGTTCGGTTAAGTAGTAAACAGCCGTACCATGATGAACGACGAGAGGTTTAAGTAACATCATTCCTAATTCATCAACCTCATGATTGGTTGTAGAACAGCTCACAACGCGTAGGTACTACCTATTCGAAGAAATAACCGTGCCATCACATCTACAAAGATAATGCTAAGTACTCTGTCAACTTTATATTATAACAATGGCTTGAGGTTAATACATATAAATAAGCGCGCAATAATAATTTACCTTTATCATATGAATGTTTAAATTAATTAAGGGCAAAGTAAAGTAATGTGACGAAGGATAATATAAGGCAAGTATATACCTAATAAATCAGCTCCAAATTACTAGAAATTTATCGGGATAATGAGAGGCAATAACTGTGTTTAAAAAACCCCTTTTTTGGTTAGGACCACTTATACTTCAGCGTTTATATTACAGGTATTATACTAGCTTTTGCCCGCGACTTCGTACGCGTGGAATAGTGACTTCCTGCACATTTTTGGTATTAAAACTATCCTATATCCTTTCTCGAGTTCCAAACTATATCTGTACCAAATTTCACAGAAATCGGTTCAGTAAGTAGTTTAGGTGTGAAGAAAAGACAGACAGAGTTACTTTCGCGTTTATAATATTAGTTTGGATGTAGTACGGCTATTTAGGTAAATATCTTACAAATAAAAGCTAGATTAAAACGTCAACAAGGTACTTAGAATTCAATTACATAAGGCGAAAGCTTGAAGGGACAAGTAGACGGCTAATATTAGTATCGCACGTAAGACATTGCTGTGTCTACGTACATCTACTTATGTATAGAGGAACATTTATTTGTACTTGTTTGTTTTGTAAATAGAACTCCTATTTGAAGTTTGTTTGCGATTGATAGCAAGTGTTAACACCTACCTACTCAGTTTAATTGACATCCAATTTATGAACATAATAAGTATATCTACAGGAATTGGTGCTACCCCTGTGTTGTGAGACCAAGGTGGTCACCTTTTCCATTAAAATAATTACTGAGAATACCATGGAATACAATATTCGAATACTTGAAAGGCTTGAAAAAGATACTGGCTATAAACTAAAAAATATGATGGAACAGCGAGAAAATGAACAGAACTAATAAATATCAAATTCTTCCTAGCAAGATCACAAGATCGGATTAAGAGAAGAAGAAGACTTTTAATTCATTTGGCTCTTATTTCGAATACAATATACTTACGAATTTTCCAAACAGAGGCGATGTAAGGAACATAACGATCGCATAGAAACTGAACACAATGCCACACATGGTTTCCGACAGGCCTTTAGCAGCTGCCTCGCGGGGAAAGAACGGCGCCATCACACTCATGGAGCAAAAACTCATAAAGTCCACGAGAGCTAAGGAAGCCAGCGTCAGCCTCTGTCGACTGGAGAGGTGCCGCACTGCCCCCGGCTGCAGGCGCGCCTGTGTTCGTACCAATCTGGGAATTAAAAATAATGTCTCTATGTAGTTATAGCTATTTATATTTATAGATATTTAGGGCATTTAAGTTGACACATATAGAAAGGCTAGTTGCATTAAAATTCTTATAAAAATTCTAGCGTATAATTTGTCTCTCATAAAACTACTTAATATCCTAACTTCTAACTGTTGTTTTGCCCGCATTACCCGGATGAAAAGTGACATGTATGTTTTAGTTTGCAGACTAAAATCTATCTTTGCCAATTTTTATGAAATTGATTCACTCAATTTTATACGTGACAGAGTAAAAAAATAAAGTGAATCCATTTGTACAACCTTTCGTGTTTATAATTTATATAATAATATTAGGATATATGTACATAGATATTTAGGTAGGTATCTACTATTTCTACATTAAACCCAAGATCAATCTAGTACCTACCTACTTATTGGATTACATGCGATACTTGATATAGTTGCTTAACATTGATTATGTACAGATAAATTACAACGACTGTTATCTTTACATTTACAATAGACTGACAAATTGTAGTAAAAAGCTGCATCACATGTGGTTATAGCAATTACCCACTTAGCTGCATCTATTCTGTGATAGATAGATAATAGATATGTACCTACCTATACTGGAAAACCCTGGTTCTAGGATATGATTAAGACCTTACCGTTCTCTCAATATAATAATCTCGGAGCTAATGTCATCAGGAGGTCCTCCGGACCAGGAGTGCACGCGGCGCAGCCTGCCCGAGTCCGGAAGAGACCTCCGGCCACCCCACGTGGCGCCCATGTCATCCGTGAGGGTGGAGGTCTTCATCATCTTGCTATTAAACACTATCGTATCCTGAGAGGCAGTTCTGTGAACCATAACACTATTCAAATTCGAGTCACTTGTAGTCCGCTCATGATCAACATCACTTAGAAGCTGGATATTTTCGTCAGCATCGTCGCACTCTCTATCCATGTTGAATGGCCACACTACCCCTCAGTCCGCTCGAGCAGCTAGACACGGAATATGCTAGATCACGCCGCCGCCGCCACCGCCGCCATCGCAATAATAACCGATCGTAAACAAACCGAGATATCGGTGTGTCAACACCGAGCGCACCGACTAGCTACTACTGTTAACAATTAAAATCCAACCTCGCATATATCAATTTATTATCGATATCTTATCGCGTTCAAATAAAAATTTCCTGGATAGAGAACGTTTTCCAGCCAGTGACGGCGCGACGGACTTGTCGCGGTGCAGAGGGAAGGGTGGCGGGGCATTAATTTATTTACCTGCAGGTACCTGATAAATCTAAGTAGGTAGGTACTCGTAAAATATTGTTTGTTTGCGATAATCAAACGGTTACTTACCAAAAGAAGCTTCGAAAGGATTTCGAATTGTTCCATTTCTAATGTTCTCGTTCACGTGCTGGTACTTTAAGTAGCTACTTATCGCTGTAATTTATATTTATGTAGAGTGAAAACGTTTTCGTGCCTGAAACAAGAGTGGGTGACATAATACCTTTATTATATCGTTTAAATTTTATAGCCTTTATTTATTTATTTGATTCATAGCTATGTATAGGCTGATACCTAATGGTGTGAAATAATTTGTTAGATAAACATACATAGGTAAGTATAAACTTCAAGATAATGCAACTGAAGAGAAATTTGACTCAGGCCGAATATCAGGTCGCGTTTGATTTTATAGTAGGTACCTAAAAACTGCAAACTAATGTATCTAAGTACTAGGTATTTAATGTGTTAATCTGTGAGGTAGGTTAGCGGTGATAGGTTCTAAGGTATTAATATCTAGTATCATATATTAACACTATAAGGGATGATTTTTCAATTTTTTTTATATAAGTTATCTGGGGAATAATTATGATGCTATCGTCAGAATGTTTGTATAAAACATTGTCAGCAAATTTTTTCCCCTCAGATAGAATTTATCTGACTACTAGCGGCGCGCCCCCGCTTCGCACGGGTTCAACTATCTCACTTTTCACTTTCACGGGTCACTTTTTCCTAATCTTCCCTTCTACTTTTCTAATATTGTCTGTGATAAGAACCTTCTCCTGACAATAAAAATCACAACAAAAAAAGAATTAGCAAAATTGGTCAAGGCGTTGTTGAGTTATGCGCTTACCAACACATTTTGCGATCCATTTTTATATATAAGATTGAAAAGTTAGCCCTAGGTAGAAAATGTATATGCACGCATAGTAAGCGAAGTATTAAGAACTTTTTTTTGTGAGGGAAAATCATCCAATGACTTCTCGCCCAGGGTGGAGGAGTGTCAGACTGTTACTGACTAAAACCCCCCCGTACCTGCTTATTGCGCTTGCCCCGCAACCCCGGCTGAAAGTACAAGGGTGCCTTGCAACAGCCAAGCCCAACTATTCGATTATTAGCCCAGTAGCAACACCAGAATGGCGGTAAAAGAGTTAATGATGTTATTCTATTGTAATACACCTGCATATTTTTTATTATTAAATAATCAAAAATTATATAGAAATAAATCCAATAAGCACTATGCACATCGGTAACTGCAATCATAAATTATTCGGCGTTCTTTAAAATGTGCTACCAATAATTTAGGTGCACATTTTAGATTTTATTTGATTGATATTTTTGTTTTTAAACTTGCGTGATATGTAAGGTTTAATAGTAAAAATATTTAATTGATAATCTCATCATATACCTAGAATAGATTGTCATTAAATTCAATGCTCATGATGGTCAAAATTAGAATCGCAATATTATTATGAAGCACAGATAGGGTGTCGCAATAATAAATAAAACGTCCACTTACAAAATATAGTAACCAGATTGATGTTTTTATTCAAAACTAATGTTTATATGTATAACAAATCAACAATCACTTTGTATGCATGTCACTGAACACTTATCATATCATAGCTTTCAACATGTCAAAATAAACGTACAATCCTTCTTATAATTTATTAACATATTTATGTGAAAAATATAGTATTTTTACGTGACTGCATTCGCGGACAGTCAGAACAATAATATTCGGTACGTTGAGGTATCAGTCCGGTTTAGATACGTAAGTAAATAGATACACTCTCAAACCTTATATTATGCAAACGATTCAACGCAGCATTATTAAATACAAAAATAGTAACACAAAACGCATATATTTCAATAGTTATGACGTGCGTTTACACATCGTATTTATAGCTTATCTCATAAGTCTTTTTATTAAATTAACAATCAATGAAACATTCTTGTGGAACAGGTTTGTGATACAAAAATCGTAACGATTGACAAAAAATATGTTTATTTTTTATAAATTGCATTTAGATCACCTGTTCCACTAGACTGGATCAAATATAGAGCTGTCCCTAGCACTAGAGTGGTGGCATTTTATTTGTAATCGGGTCCGTTTTTGATGAGCGTGGACGATCATAACCGTAGTTGAGCGAGTTCCTGAAGCAACGTAGCCTCCTGATCAATCTTCGCCAATTGATTCAGTTCGAGCTGCTTCCCAGCCGCCTTCTGTTGCTTCAGCTTTTCTATATCGCTCAATTTCTGTAACAAATTATAGATTAGATTAAAGATTTTAAATGTATTTAAAATAATATATTCAAATTAATGCGTCAATCGAGTTTAAAACTAGTTTAGGCTTATTTCAAGCTTTAAGACGTTATCTTTTCAAATAAATTGTTTTTATTAATTACTCTCTAAATCATTTTAGGAAATAAAGGGAGAATAAATCGATTTACGAATGTACGCCGAATACTTCATTTGTTTGAATATTCAAACATAAGTATGTTCCTAAAACAGTGTTGACACATCTATACTAATACTATAAAGAGGTAACATTTGTAAGTTTGTATGTAGGGGGTAATCTTAGGAACCGCTGGTCGGATTGCCAAAATTCTTTCACTGATAGGTAGCTATCATGTTCCTGAGTGCTACGAGCAGACGGATTACCTCCTGGTAAGCAATCGGCGCCAATCGGGACATATGCAGCACCAGAGGATTTACGAGCGCTTTCCAGCCTTTTGAGAATTAAGGTTTTAGGCTATAAGACATCACGCTACGATCAAATGGAGACGGGCAGCGGGTGAAACCGCGCGAGAGTAGCTAGTTATCAATATAAACAAACCTAAATCTGTTGACCTAAATCCGTAAAGATACGTAAGCACTAAAAGGACTACATTAAGGGGTGGAAAATTTAATACATACTATAAATAAAATTCACAGGAACATGGGCAAAAAGTTCTAGCAAAAATAGTTCCTAATCACATTAAAAAATAATGACGTCAACTAAGGAGGTCATGCATGACGTAAGGTAATGCGGAATGAAATTTTTAAAATATCCATAGCTATAATAAGAGGCGTGTTGAATCTAAACTAGAATATTTAATCTTAAAAACCTTGTTATCTTATGGATGTTAAAGCGATTGTTACGTAATGGAATACCATTTAGATACTGGTACGTACTGGCCACGCAAAAATTATTTTAAAAGAACTTATTGATATTGAGCCTACTTGGAAAAGAAATCAATTCAATTACATTAAAATAGCAATATTAATATTGAATTCTCGAAATATTACCTTGTTTTTTCAGTAATTATTTCTAGTAGCTAAATAGGCTTAAGTGGCGTGCTTATCGAAGTGTTACATGTCTAGGACGGAAAAGACAGTTATGATAGTGATATTGATGATGAGAGAAATTTACCTTGTTGAGATTTTTGATCTTCTTGTCCTTTTCGGGGTCCCCTGTGGAGATGAAGGGTGCGCGGGGAGTGGTGGTCGCGGCGGGCGGTGACGAGGTGTCTCCACTGGCTTTTTCTTCTGCCTTACGCGCCTTACGAGCCTCGCGCTTTTCTTTCTGCTTGATCGCCTGCTTTGATGGTGCAGCTAAACGAAATATAACATTTCAATATAAAATAAATGGTCAGCCGAGGTTGCGGGGTGAGCGCAATAAGGTATTGTGGTCTTGGACTGGAGTGGGAAAAGTAATGGGGTGGGGTTTTTAGTCAGTAAGAGCTTGACACTCCCTCTCGCCCCAAACTGGGAGAGAGAAGAAGTTTCGAGAGAAGTAATTTGAGTATTTTCCACCCTTTAAAAAAGATAAGATTCATAGCGTACAACTGTAAATGAGCTGACTGAAGGTAAGCAATCGACGTCACCCATAGACCCTCATAACACTAAATGCGCTACTAATGCGTTGCCGGCCTTTTCACGATGAGGGAGATTGGACGTCCAATAATATCCCTTATACGACGCAACACACGTAAGCGTTGTTACACGGTTTTTCCAGTTTTGAGGTCTCCAGTAAAAAAGTTGATTGTTGAAACGAGTGGTTTAATCAACCCATCCCTCTTTATCCCGGGCGAGATTTAATTATTGTTCAAATAAACTATGCATAAAACCAGTACAGTGCTGTAAGTTAAAAGAATAATTAATGAAAGTACGCAAGGATGGTAGTAAGTAGCATTTTCTAGTTTCTGCCTATTTGAGAGATACACACACATTAGAGTTAATTAGAGAGTAACTATTCTGTATAGGGAACAAGTATAGGTTACTTTAACTTACCACTAGGCGTTTCTCCAGGTCTGTGTGGCTTCTCCTGCTCATGTAACGTGAAGGTCGAAGGTCTGTTCTTGGCGCCAGGAGGCCTGTATGCAGCTACTGGCTTCGGCGTGGTATCCTCAATGGACTTAGGCACTATCTTAGAGAGCTCACTCTTTGGGAAGTTGCCTGGTTGCCAGCTGATAGCCAAGAGGTTCTCCTTTTCAGCACACATACGCTTATGCATTAGGGCGCATGTGTAGTGCCATATTTTGTATCTAAAAAGAGTTATTATTAAAATCATTCATTGTTAAGGCGCCCCGCTCCTCATGCATGAAGAGGACGGTTCGAAATCCACCAAGTACTTTTTCCGAGTCATGTAATTTTTAAGTTTATTAAGACGAAGAGAAGAAAGAAAAAATAAGGAAACCTAGACTTATAATTTCTAATTTCAGGTTTGAAATCTCTAATCCACCTTGTGCAAGTGTGGTGATTAATGCTCTTACCTTATCCGTGTTAGACTCTCTTAGTGCCAGTGGGCACTTATAGGCTGATAAAGTCATTGAGACTTTTTTCGTAAACTTAAACTATTTGTGTAATAATGGATAGCGCTACTTGGTACTTTCTATGATTATTTAGACACCACTGGCATACGGTGAAAGTAAACATCGTGAGGAAACCTGGACTTATAATTTCTAATTATAAGTTTGAAATCGCCAACCCGCATTGAGCAAGCGTGGTGATTAATGCTCTAACCTTCTCCGTGTGAGAAGAGGCCTTTGCTCAGCAGTGGGCACTTATGGGCTGATGATGGTGATGATGGATAGCGCTATACTGGTGAAATCGAATAACAGAAGTACGACTAAATGGCACAATCTGACTTCTGATACAAGTAAACTAATTACAAAGGTACCATGTGCAGTAAATTACATACCCGTTGCCGACAGTAAGCCTGGGGTATGTGGTGGCAGTGACGAAGGTTTCTGCGCGGGGATCCCACATGAGGCTGGTAGTGTCGGGGGCTGCACAAGATCCCACCTTCTTGTACCCGCGGAGCTCCCAAACCTCAATGTGACCAGACGCTATGTTACCGAATCCACCCAACAACACGCGTGTTTTATAGTTAAGGAATTATTTTTAAAAGTTGTAAAACATAAGTGTAATAATTATGATGACAATACATATAAGAGATAACTGTTTTAAAAAGAAATTTAAACTCTTCAGATTTGACACATCTACATTTTCATTTGTTGTAGGTACATTGAATATTATAAAAGCCTTGTGTATGCATTTACACTATATGAATCAATGATATTATAAGTAAAATGATGTAGATAGATTAGGTACATAAAAAACATTCGATTTTCAAAAACGACACACTGATGCACACATGAACAATTCGTATGATTAGGCGTCAAAGTGGGAAGGCATGATTCAATAATCGCGAGTGAAAAAGAGACAACTATGAAACAGTGTGGCTAGTTAGCCACATTTTAATGCATCACTTGCTAAGCGTTTATGACCTATACTCACGACACAGGAGAAAAGCCTAGTGTGGGGCAACGTTTTTTTATAAAGTATAAGTATAAATTGTTAGTATGCTTAAATAAATTCTCATATTGAAAAGGATATGATTCCCTTCAGGTGGGAAGTATATGGAGTTCCAAGATCCAGTCCCGAATTCAAATAGGGGTTCGCACTTAACATTGAACAGCGTGGCTTTAGCAGGCGCGTGTCCATACACCGCCATCCATTCGTTAGAGTTGCCTGGATTCCACGCGATAGAGTGCACAGGACCCTCCTTACCTGAGAGAAGAAAAAAAATCTAATGGAGAACATAGCTGGCCCGACTTAGGTACACAACTCAAGGCACCTTAATCACTGGATAAGGGCAACGTTTTAAAGTTGGTTTTTTAATAACTTAAAACATCCTCAAACTTACTGAATGTTCAGCCGAGGTTGCGGGGCAAGCGCAATGAGCTACCGCGGCCTCGGCCCAGAGCAATAGAAGGAATGGGGGAGGAAGAGGTTTAGCCAGTAAGAGTCTGACAGTCCCTCCCCCTCGACTTTGGGCGGGAGATGTCATTCATGATTTTCTCCTAACAAAAAAAACTTACTGAATGTAACATTTTCGGAATTGCCCTTAACATCTCCATAGGAAAGTGATTGCTTCCCATAGTAAGAACCACCAGTTTTGTCCACCTGCAACCAAAATAATCATATTAGAACAATATCAAATCAAATCAAAATCATTTATTCCAACTAAACCATAAATAAGTACTTTTGAAACGTCAAAATAGAGTTCATCAGTGAAGCTAGGTGCTCGTTCTAAATTGTAGTTTCGAATGGTGAAGAACGAGCAAGAAACTCGATTGTTACTCTTTTAAAAAAATATATTATTCTTGTTTGTTTGTTTACAAGCTTGCAGCATGCAGTACTTTTTAATTATTTTAGCAGTAGCAATAACTTTTTTGGTTTAATTATAGTTATTAGGAGAAAATTTCATCATTACTCACATCAGTTTGCGTCATCGCGAAAACATTGGTACCACGTCGATTCCAGTAAAATGTAGCTTTGTCAGCCTGGAAAGACGACCGGCTCACCACTGCCTGGGTCTGATCAAATTCAGGATATTTGAATACACGCCAAAACGATGGCTGACCTGCTTTACCTGCAAACCAAATAGAATTTAATTCAAGAATAGTCAAAAGGTGTTCTGGTTGTGGATGTCAGTTGTGCATTAAGTGAATACAACAGTTTTTTTGCGGTGGTTGTGCAACTGGCTGCTGTGCAACGTGTGGCAGTTTAAATTTCCCACAGAATTGTGTCATTTAATTGTTTTTGTGGGTCTAGGTGTGATGTCTAAGTGAAATAATGAGTTTTTAAACACAGCAGAAAATAAGTGTTTCGAAATGGCTTTAATAAAAAATTTACTTGTTATACCAGTAAATATAAAGAGTTAAGAATTCCCAAAATATACCTTTATAATCGATTTTTATTAAGCCTTGGTGCTAACAAAATCCAAATCAAAGAAATAGACTTAATACAGACACATTATGTATTGAAAAATACCTAAAGTAAATGCTGCAAAGTAGTAGATAGGCGCAGGACTGGGTGAGACACTGAAACATTTCAGTTTGTCCGCCTGCAACTGTTGTACATATCTGTCAAATACGCCATCTTCATAGACCAACACCCTGTTGTTCACCTGTACAGCAAACAGCTTCTCATCAGATGTCCACTTTGGCTCCCTTTAAGTAAAGGTTACATTAAGTATACAAATTCATAATTGAACAAAGAGTTTTTATCTATACCAATATTATAAAGCTGAAGAGTTTTTTTGTTTGAACACACTAATCTCTAAAACTACTGGTTCAAATTGAATAATCGTTTTTGTTAGTAAATTTATCGAGAAAGGATTTAGGCTATAAGACATCACACTACAATTTGTAGGAGCCAAGCAGCAAGTAAAACCACACTACAGAAGCTAGTATTTATTACTAGATTTTGCTTGACTTAGTTTGTGTGGAACAGCGACTGCCTGCAGATTGTTGGTTTAAAAACTGTCCTATATCCTTTCTCGAGATTCAAACTATGTCGTTACCAAATTTCACACAAATAGGTTCAGTAGTTTAGGTCTGAAGAAAAGACAGACAGACAGAGTTACTTTTGAATTTATAATGAGTTTGGATATATTTCAAAAATAGAATACTTGGATTATTTAGTATCACTTAATATGACTTACCATCCAGTTTGATTTTTTTGTATGAAGCTGCCGACTAGTTGCCCATCAGCTGACTTATAGACATGTAGGTTAGGCTTGCCCTAAAACAATTGCATTGTAACACTTAAAGTCTGAAGAAACAGGTGAACTGAATGTCCCTTTTGTCCATTCCACATTATGTATGAGTTGTAATACATACAGCGGTTTGTCAAACACTTTCAATGGAAACCATTGGATCACCAAAATAAAGCGGCAATACTCTATTTATGCTTTTAATTACAATATTACAAAATTGATACCTGAGGGTTTTCTTTTGTCATGACGAACATTTCCCATATAGTAAAATAGTTGTCCAGGGGTGAAAAAAACATATCTTTCACATTTCCATTTATAGTCGCTGCTACTGACCAATCGGAACATCTTACAATCTCAACTCTGAAAATCACATTATGTACATTTAATTTTAGTTCACTGAACTACTACCAAGTACAGCGGATTGTACTAATTTATTTAATTATAACCATATTATATACTTAGTAATAATCAGACACTCACTTCTTGTCAGTTCTATACGCTAAATATGTCCCTTTGGGACTAAATATAATACCACGTATGTTAGTAGTTGTTTCATCCCTTAAGTTTGTCTCTGCATACGGCTCTTTGAAATCTACTAAGAATATGTTTTTGGTGGTTAAACCTGGGAAAAAATATTATTGAGGTTGAAAACATCATAACCTATAAATAGCAGTTTTACTGAAACTGAACAGATGCGCGATAAATATTTACCAGCAATATACGGAGTACTCATGTTTGCTGCGAGGGAGTTCGTAGAAAATTGTCTAAAACCTCAACATCATAAACTACGTGTGTTATATTTTCACAATTTGCCGCACGGCCTAAAAACTGACAGACAGACAGAATCACAGAACATTGACGTTTATTTTTCCACAGATTACAAAAACATTTATTCTATAAATTCGTTTAATAGCAGGATAATTGCACCCTTAAAAAAGCAAATAATTACAAATAACTTTGATTAAAAATCAATAAAAAACACATTGGGTCTTGAAACTATAGGTCTGGTGTGTCCATATAGTTTTTTTACATTTATTTAATGTCTTGAACGCAACAGTAGACCAAACAAAGTCAAGATGTCAACATCAAAAATTGAGTTGAAAGAATTCAAGATGGTGGATTTGAATTACTAACTTGTCAGAAAGGTGTGTGAAATTTTAGCTTCTTTTATTGTTTTGGTGTCCGTTAAGTAAAATTTTAACTAAAATAAATAAAACTATCAAGTTTCAATGTTTAGTAACAAGACCCAACTTAGGAAACGTACCCCTGAAAATGGGACAGATCGGGAAACCTTTCTGTCGCTTTTAGTGGATGAATATTTGCATTCCACTGTGTATGGTAAATAAATTCAACGAATCACTTGTAAATTAAATAAATAACAGTACGGACTAAAATTTTGTGATATCCATACTTTTTCTGTGACCTTTGTAAATGTTGATCTTATAACATTGAAGGACTACACGTAATAGGTACACTATTTTTCTTTTTCAGATGCTAAATGCCAAGTATTAGCTAATTTGGCAAATTTTGCATACGACCCAATCAATTATCAATATATCAGAGACGTTGGAGTCTTGGACATTTTTCTACATGTCATTAAGAATGAAAGCAGTCTCCAATTGCTTCATTTTGCTGTAGCAGGGATCTGCAATTTATGCTGTGGTGGGTTTATTTTTGTACATATTTGTGTTTTAGTGCTGTAGCTTAATATATTAAGATAGGTTTCAATTAAGTCATCATTAGGAGATTTACTGTGTAGGTACTTCAAATTCTGAAATCTTTAATACGTTCTGCGTATCACATGTTAATTTCACTACAATCCAAATCCACCCTTAAGACGATCCTCAGACTCCATCTTTTACTGTTTTACTTTTACTGGCTGGAAATTGTATATATAGTTGGTTGTTAGGCAGCTGACTGCTGTGTAACATGTTTTGGGTTTGATTCCCACACAGAACAACTCTTTGTGTTTTTTATATATTGTTTTTTGTATTTTTCAATGCATGACAAGATTATTGTAGTGTAGGGTGTAACATATTAAGTTAAAAAAAAGAAAAAGAAATGTTCCAGTATCAAATAAATAATCTATATTTTTATCGTAACATTTACAGATCCACTGAATGCTGAATATATCATAACACATTCTGGACTGAAGCCACTTACTGCATTACTCAGCTTGAATCATAATGATATCATTGCTGACACAATCACAACCTTGATGTATCTTCATAATAACCAAACAGAATCTGAAATAACAACATCGGAGGTGATACAGCAGATACAAGATTTACAAAAATCAAATGACAAAAGATTAGTTAACCTAGCCACTATATACTTACAAGATGTATGCAAAGCAAATGAAAACTTATAAATAAAAGTGATTTTACCAAATATGAACAAGATGTTGTCAAACAGATTTCCCTACATTGTTGTGAATAACAAGAACTATCAGAAGATATGCAAAATACATACAACTTCATTTAGTAATACAGCTTTCAAAGCTGGTGATAAGATTCGCATACAAAAAACTTTGACCCAAAAAGATTTGGATGCATTCTCCAACCTTACCAGTGATCATAATTATTTGCATCAGAATAATGGCAACAAGAGGCCCATAGTGCATGGAGCACTTCTCAATGGCTTAGTGGCGGGGTTGATAGGCACACACTTGCCTGGCCCGGGCACAGTGCTTGTATCGCAAACTATGAAGTTTCCTAATAAGTGCTTTGTTGGTGAGAAGTTGACTATAAGTGTAGAACTTGTTGATGTGAGGAAGATTCTCAAAGTAAAATTTTATTGCATCGTCGAAGAAGAAAAGAAGGTTGTGTTTGAAGGTGAGGCTAAACTCATGTTAGCCAAAGACTGTTAGATATATAAGATAAAGTGTAATATTAACTTATTTCATAGACTTAAGATTTAACAATAAGAAAAAATTAAATGCCACAAGGCATTATTGAAATTATAAAACTCTAAAGTTATAACTAAAGAAAAACTCTATTGGAAAGTCTTAAATTTTATGATAGTCTGTCAATGTGCCAATAAATTCATGAAATCAAATAATATAAACTGAAAAGTACAATTATTTAGTTTTAATTAGATAACTCAGTACCTACAAGGTAATTTAATATTTAATAACTAAACACCAAGCATGCTGCAGTTGTATCATGTTATCTGTCCATTTAATGTCCATAATTATACAAATTTCATAGTCTATAATTAATTAAGACTGATAGTAACTAGATCACAACTTATCCATACAATAATGTTACATATTAAAATCTCTTGTGCAATTTTTAGGAAACTACAATGTCATACAGTCATTATAATTGTAACATGGATTGACAAATGTGTACTCACATGGTAAAAGTAACATCTTGATGTTTACCGATCATATTAGAATATGAAATTTCGAAAAGAAATAAAAGAGAATGTCAGTCATCATGAGGATAGCTTAATGTCAAAGTATAATTCTATTATAACATTGTAGCAGTGTGAATTCCCACCATCGTGAATTGTTTACCCTTTCTTTTGTTTAATTATTTCAATTCATTTATACTCTGATTTATTATTGTCATATATGTGCCAATTATTGTATCATGCTCACTATGTATGTTTTAATCCGAAAATTACTTACATTTTGTAAACATATTCTTGAAATATATTTAAGTAGTTTGACTCAGGTAGCTTTTAATTAATCAGTCTAATAAACTTGACATTAATATATCTATATTTAAAATCTAGTTCTTGTATTGTCTTAGAATTGTATCAATATTTTAGAAAAAAATAAGGTACTGCCATTTTAAAATAGCCTTTTCTACACCAAAATCAAAACAAAAGTTTGGGGTATATACTATTTGACTTCTGTGCAGATTTCTGATAAATATTTGTGTATTTTATTTTATTAATAATTGTATGACAGCTTTTAAATGGACATTAACTTTCTGGTTTTATGATAATGTATTTGTAACTTTATGTAATATTACATAAAACAACAGTTCTAGCAAGTAAAACATAACATAGAGATTACTTAATAGTAACTATAAGTGACTGTTCCTCTTTTCATCACTTTTTTACTGCTGGTAAGTAAGATGTTAGTGTAACATCAGTTTGTTTTTTCTGTTAATTGGTTAATTTAGTTTGTATTACCGTCACATGAAATGTGATCATGTCTACTTTATATTTTTATTATGGTTTATGTTCATGTACCTTACTGGTGTAACTATTTTTTGTTTTACACTTCTTGATCTGTTACAGACATGTTTGTTTTTATTTTTATTAAACTTTAGTCTGTTCATTTGTTTTTATTTTCTTCCATAATTTCATATACTTGTTCCCTGGTCTGCTGTAATATTGTTAGAAGGCTTTACAAGTAAATATTTTGAAATTTGGTACTTAGTCCATAAATGTGCTTATTGACATTATAACTTTGTAGTATTTATGTAGTGTTAGAAATTTCAAATTTTATTAAGATTATTGCTAGTTGCTAGATGAATTTGCGCTTCGTTGTTTTATGTAGATTAAAAATTCTATGATTGGAAGGGAGGGCTGTGATTGAACTCGTGTAATCGATAAATTTTGGCAAACTAGCAGTGCGATGCATAGGTACGCTGTAGCACATTTTGGATAAGGATTTTTGTCAATTTATTCGTCTGATCAGTACTTAATTAGGTAGTATTTTTAACAATATGTAGAAAATAAACTGAATCGTCTATTACGTGTTTTATTAATTATTTTTAATTATTAGGAATTAGTAAGAAGCGGTTATAGATTTTGTGCTCCTTGTCGCCTCCATCAACTAGTATATAAAACATGTGCATGTTCAATAGGAAGTAATAAGAAAATCTAGGTAAGTACTAAGTTTACCGCACATAACGAGTTATGAAATTTTAATTTAAAAAAATCTTTATTACGTTGTGCAGTCGTTTAATAAAGCTTTTCTTAGGAATAATTCGTTATTTGCAATAAAGCTCTAGTAGAGAGAGTAGAGTTCTAATGAAACAGAATATAGGTCCCTTTTTTATTAATTTTAAAGTAAATTTACCATCCGGGCATCCACCCTTTTTTAAGCGTGGGAGAAGCAATGTGGGTTAATTTAGTTTTTCACTTGTACCCTGTTCATCATGTTGTATCATGCTAAAATAACGAAGTAAGCCGTTTTTTTTTTGTGATTGGAAAATCATCAAATGACTTCTCCTGCCCAGGGCCGGGCGGGAGGGAGTGTCAGACTCTTGCTGACTAAAAACCCCCCTGTTCCTTCTCCTACTCTGGTCCGAGGTCGCGGTGCCTCATTGCGCTTACCCCGCAACCCCGGCTGAAGCCGTGATGGTAAGAAATCGACGCCGCCCATGGATTCTCATAATAACAAAGCAGTTACTACAAGGGAGTTATTAGGGATTTGAGGTCCTCACTCACACTGCAAAACAACGTAACCTACCTAAGTGTTCTTTTATAGAGGTATCTGTGAGATCAAAAGAAAAAGACCTGAAGAAGCACCTCAGGATTGAGAAAGATACCTACTTACTAATTTTTAATTTATTTTCTAAGAAATAAGAAACCTATTTGAGGATTTCAGTAGGTAGGTATCATAAAAAAAGGGCGACGGAAGCACCAGAACTCGCGCCAAGATACAAATATCACTGGATCTTAGAGTCATTTAGATGCCTATTTCCTTTCGAATCTTGAATTTGTAATCAACCACAATAATACTAGCAGTTCCATCTTGATTAGTCGCTTGGTCTATCTTTAGCTCAGAACGCTGATTTTAGGGGTAATTAATAGTAAAAGATACAATAAAAAAATAGGGACAAATGCTTAGCTAAGTTAATACCTATAGCTATTGCCTAACCATACGGAATTTGCTATACACATTATTTATTATTTAAATGGATCCTTATCTAAAATCTCCAACAAGCAATCACGTTTCTACAAAGAAAGTTATCTGGATAAATTCACGTAAAATATAGCGAGGCTTGATTTAGACACGTTTCGGTGTGCGGCGAAGAAGCTGAGTAGACAATTTTTGATTGAATATTTAGCCGAGATAAACGGTTTATATGGTCAGATAATTATCGGTTTGGTCACAATAAGTGTAAGGTATTTGTTGAGGAGTGGAGTTCAGTGGGTGATGTGATTTGCTGAAAGGAAGAACAGCGGTAAAGTGAGTAAAATTGTTTTTGTTTGTTGATATCAGTACCTATTACATTTATCACTTTTTTATTTGCAAATTTGTAGACGTATTTCTTGATAGTAAGTGATATGCACCACCCATTGACACCTGCAACACCAGAGGAGTCACAGGCGTGCCCTTTTTAAGAGGGAGTTGCATCGGTAGGGAAATACCGCCGCTGACAGATTATTCGAAAGTTTGTTTTTTGTTATGTTGCTAGGTATGTGATGGAAATGAAAATGTTTTCGCGTGGAACTATGGCATCTTTTAGATGCATTTACTATCTTGTTGATCAAGTGTTAAATAAAAGTATTCTGTTCTTATTACTTACCTATATAATTTTTGAAATCTCAGTACAGTACCTATGTAGGTTACCATCTCTTTGTTTGGGAATAAAAACCGCGTCGCATAATGTTTTATTACGTCCAACAGACGCTTTAGGTAAATTCTGTTTATAGTTAACTTAAACTAGACAGTCTTAATGCTCGAGGCTAGCTACTCAGCTATTTCAGGACCCACTAGAGAGCAACTAAATTTAGAAAAATCGATACCTTTATCTGTTTCTACGATGTTTGTCTAGGTAGGGTAGGTAGGCGTATTTAATTGTTATATTTTTCAGTCTCTATCTTTTGTCTAAAAAGGTTTTTTTTCAGATTCAAGTAACAAAATGCGCGGCCTCCAGTCGTGGTTATGGTTGCTATTCGTAGCCTGGTTGTTTGTTATGGTAACTGCGGAGAGCAGACGGAAGACGAAACGGGAGAACTACTCCGTCAGTGCCCCCTCAGAGGAAGAGACCAACTACGATGATGACTACGAGGAGGTAAGGGTCTTTGAATTTGGCTTATACAGACGCTTCGTTACCTTTTGGTGAGTGAGCTCCTTGAAGAATTTTCGCAAAATAAAAAAACCAAGCAAGCTATGTAGATCGTTTGTGAGATGGTCTGATTAAACTTTAATTATTTTTAATTATTAGTGCAATAGTATTATAACAACTTTCTATGAAAGTAAGTAGGTTAAATTTATGAAAGGATCTCCAATCCCTAAATCTCCGAAATCCTAATCGCTATATGACATAAGTATATGGACAGCGCTAATTAATAGATTACCTACCCGAGGGTAAGTAATCGTTACCGTCGGGTAATCCATCAATTAGTTTACAATAAAATAATAAAATTACATAAAAAAGCTATAGGAGCTTAGGTACTACCTAGGTCCTATAGCTTTTCGCTCTTTTTCAATGTGTCTATTCTTAACCTTTACTAAGGAGTAGGTAGGTACCACAACTATTAAATACGCTTGTAATTTGTTTCTTTGAAACTTCTTCTTTGTTTGAAACTTTTACTTTCTCGTAGAAAGACAGAGAAAGAAAGAAAGAAAAATCATTCATTGAAAGTGGTGGATATCAACCTACATACCATATTACTCGAATTTATTTAGTAGGCAATGCCAAACTATTAATAAAAAGTAAATTACCTAAAAGTAACTCGGTCTGTCTGTCTTTTCTTCACGCTTAAACTACTAAACCGATTTCTGTGAAATTTGGAACAGACTCAGTACAGTTTAGAACTCGAGAAAGGACATAGGATAGTTTTTATACCAAAAATCTGCAGGAAGTCACTATTTGACGCGAACGAAGTTGTTTATGCCCAAACTAGTGTATCCATAAAATAAACTCTACCTTCTTACACATTTAGTCGTTTCCGTTCGAGTGAGACCTAGGCAATAGCTTACAACCATCTGAATGAACACTATTTCAGACCAGTTTGACTTGTAAGTTAATGCGAGCTTCCCTTAAGGCGGTTGCGAATATTCGTGACTGCTTCTATGGGCAGGCGGCAAATGGCTGTAAGCAGGGCTTACTGAGTTATTTTCGAAATATTAAATCGATCGACAGAAATATTCTGGGTTTTCATGGGAGTCTGCATTAATACTGTATTATTTTTATACACGACTATTACTTATTCTACAATTTCATGTTTTTGCAGCTAGAACCATGCCAGTGCGGAGTGTTCCTGTCTCAGCAAGTCGGTATCAAGGACAACAACCGTCGCAGTCGGCCACGAGGTCCCCCACAAGGGGAGCCCGTCGTCACCTATGACACAGACTCGCCCAGCATGCCCTGCGGTGTCGGGGGATTTAAGAACTGTGTCAGCAGGTGTCTTGACGTGGTCAGTACTTTTCACACATAAACTTACCTACTTTGTAAGGTCTTCTTAACCCCCGTCGCAAAAAACAAAGAGGAATTATACCAAGGTTATATTTCTTTTCTCTTTGAAAAAACGTTGCCCTACACTGGGATCTTCTCCTGTGTCGTGGGTGCTTACAAACATAAAATTTCACATACACATCACACCCAGGCCCGGAACAACAATTTGTAAATCAAACAAAGAGTTGTTCCGTGCGGGAATTGAACACGCGATACGTTGCGCGGCAGCCAGTTACCCAGACACCGAGCCAACCGTGCAGTCAAACTTAAACCTGTACATATTTAAAAATCTCTCTTCCTCTTTTGAAGTCCTCATTAGTATTATTAATACTATGTGCCTACTGAAATATAAATTGTGTTCGGTGTTATAAGCATCCTCGACTCGTGTTACATAGGAATAATGAACGTTACTTTACTGAGCAAAAGTGAGTGTACCTGCTTTGATAAACCTCTTTGGTAAAATAATGCGTTATTAGGTTACCTATATACATAAGTGTGCAAGTATGTATGCGTAAATCACCGATGTTATATAATATAGCCAAATCATCGTACCTACTTATATGTCAGAGTCCAACGTTCGGCGAAGGATAATATAAGCAATAGTGGACAGTTTCACAACAATTATTTAAATTGTTTATTTATTTCGTGCGCTGATTAATTTTGCAAAGTAAACATGACACTTACGCGTAACCTCACGGCCCTTCATTGTAATTAGCTGCCATAATCGAGGTCGCCGCGTGCTACGGCACTGATATAACAATACCAATCAAATGGAGGTTGATACTGGACACATCGCTGCAATATATAATGTATTTTATTTATAACTTTATTGCATGTGAAACATTTTCTTACATATCTACAATATTATATTATATCTACAATAGTAGATGTATATGTTAGGGTCTGGTTAACACACTGCTCTTTACATTTTTTCGAGTAAGAGTTCATACTATACAAATAATGAATTGTCTATATACTCACACGATTTCATTCGGATACTTAGCACGTTTCATGCTCGAATTAGGCATAGCCATAGAACCAAGTTTTCTCTTATAAATACCTAATAATATTTAACGCAAAATTATTTTGTTACGATAGATCCTGAAATACCTGCCACGCGCCGGACCTGTCATCTGCGGGGCGGTGGAACGCGACGTTCACAGAGAAAAGGCGTTCCTCTTCATAAAGAACTGTGGCGGGGAGTGGACGCCCACCAGCTTCTCAGCTGGCAAGGAGTTCTGTTGCACTGATGGAGAACATCACAAGTGCTGAGGAGCCCTAACGACGTGACCTTGAATGTTCTTGACGGAGCGGGTAACAGGCAAACGATTGACTGATTGCAAAGCGATTTATCTAATTGAGCAACTGTTCAGGTTTAAGTCCTAGGACACCCACGCCTTCATTCAAACATATAGAATAGAAACACAACTAATTAATTATGATTTTGCTTACAAAAGTCTTCAACAGCTGACTGCGCGCTTGATATGCTGTCGCGCTCCGTAGTTGTATTGTTAGTTCGATCGTTCGATTCCCACGTTCGATGCGTGTTATAGACTTGTAGCTATGCGAATATTTTACCGCAACAAAGGTGTATAAGTAAACATAACACAGTTTTGAAGAATGTTGTATTTATCTTGAATTTCATCGGTAACTTCCCTACACGTGAAGAACGTGACAATACTGGTGTATCTAAGTTCTTATTTGCAATCTTATTAATATGAAATAAGAGCAATAATTATTTGGTGACTGCGGATTTATTGACTAAGATGTTCTAGTTGGCTATGAAAAATGTCACGCTTTTGAAAATTTAGGTAGAAGTTTAACATAGTGCTGTGGGGCTAGGGAAATGTGAAATAAAACAGCGTTACTAAATCTCAAGAGTTTCATCTTTATTGATTGGATCTTAGCTTATATTATATAAATTATGTAGATGAGCGCGACAAATGTTCGTCATTATCTGACTATCGCTTGTGTATCATCTATTAACTATTTAATTATTAACACTATTCTACCGAAATTGGTATGCCTTATTCTACCAAAATAAATATAATTTATTCTACCGAAGATACCGTGTTGACGCGTAAGATGTACGCTACAGCATTGTTATATTTGCCACCATAGCACAGACCATAGCTATACTAGTAATAACAGTAAGAAATATTGTGAACATTGTCAATTTATTATTGATAGGTATTGGTAATATGATGGCAAAGTCAATCATCAAGTCAATTTGTCAAAACATATGAGCTATAGGTAGGTATCTACATCGTTTTCTGAGGACCAAAGTCGAACGTGTTTATTGTTTCCTATTGTGCATATATGTAGGTATGTACAAGAAAACTATGTATTTATGTAGATAGTGTAGTTCTACTAGTACCTACTTTAAAACGAGGCTAGCAAAAACAGATTTTTTTAAATTTAGTTTGTATTTATTTACCTATATAGTAATTTATTTTCTATTGATTTATTTTTTAATTTTAGATAGGCTAAATGCCTCGTAAATAATGTAGGTAGGGAGTATAGTTATTGCAATATAATTTAGTTACAATATAAAATAAAATAAGTAGTTAGTTTTCTAAACAACATTATATTAGTTCGACAAAAAACCTTAATAATTATTTTGGTAACCTTAAGAAAGTGCGCTCATCACATTAGTTAATGATTTAATCCATTGTAATAATTAATTCCTATACAATACAATCTAGTTCTTGATTACTAAACGGCATGCTTACGTAACAACAACTTAGTGCGTCTACTTTTTTTATTCGTAACCTTTTTGTAATGGCTAACCGCAGTAATTTGATTTAATTACCTATTATTATTATTAATTGATAATGAAGCGTTATTGTTAACATTACGTTTGGTATGTACATGTGTAAATTGTAGATGTAACTTGTAATATATGATTAAATATACATTGATTGTTTGTATTTTTACATGACACGTCACTCCACACAGTTTATTGTTATACAATAACAATAAAGTCGAGGCATTAAACAACTTGTTTTCTTCGACCTGATATAATAAACTCACTTCGAACACGTTTTATTTCTACGCAAGGACTTTATTTACGCGGCCCTGGCATGTGTTAGCATATATTATCTATTTTTGCGCACGCACGCGGTTCCGCGCGTCTTGCCGGCGTGGTCCTGCGCTAGCGCTGGTGGGCGCGCCGAGGAGTGTCTTATCCGCTGACCCGGTTCTGGATTATGGTGTCAATGAAGTTCCCTTATCAAGGACTAGTACACTCACATCAAGTAAAGTACGTAGTCGTTGCTAGACGTACGGTGCGGGCGCGGCGGGGGCGGGCAGCGCGGGTGTGCGGGGCGCGGGGGGCGCGGCGCCTGACCCGGATCGCGTAGGGTGAACAACCCCGACACGTGCCACTTTCTAAAAGAAACGCGCGTCGCCCGCGCATCCTTGCGTGGACAGCTGGGACACTGGTGCTTCTCTATTACATGTCTAAAGCGTTTTGGCACCTAACGACCAACTAAATATAGCACACGCGTCTCAATCGTATTATTCCTTAATCAAACAACTTTGTCTCGGCAAAAATAACACCTTACATTGGCAGTTTACCCAGCAGAGCCACCTGTATCGGCGACAACCTGTCTTTCTGAGCATACATAATTTGAATAATTTCTTTTAGCTCATTAAAGAGTCGATGCTTATTGCTTATTAGTCAACAAACAACGCAACGTTATGACATCAGATTAATTATGCAAGTAGAAGGTACTTAGTGAAGTTACTATTACCTACTACAACGACTATAACTTTTAAGAGAATTCACGTAAAATTGTATACAATATAATTATGTTCTGCGACTACCCTGAGGTTAGCAAGTCGATATCATACGTATGTAAGTAGATGGGTTGGTCAATTCTCTGAAATTGTCATTGTTATTCTGAATGGAGTTAAACGCGCCTTAAAACGGTGCGCTACCTGTAGGATTGCCAAAAATATAGGTACCAAATAAAATTTGAATACCTACCGCACAAAGGAGTGACTAATTCTATTTAAGGTCAAAAAGGGTCAAAAAATTCACTCATCTGCGGCCAGATAGGTAGTGGTTAATTACACAGATATTTCTCGGTAACCAAGATATTCATATTGTTGAATTTATTCTAAAATGAACTTAGTTTTTAGATGGTGGTGGAATGAAAAAAAATACCCAGAATTTATACTCAAAACATTATCTAAACCTCAATTTTGCCTGTAAGACTTAGAGATAACTTTTAGGATTGCCATCCCTAAAATCAACGTAGCTATTACCAAAAAGAGATTGATAAGCGCTATGTGAATTCTGCGTAAAATATTTCGAAGAACAACAGTAACTAGTGTTGTTCTGATAAGTAGGTACCTATACCCGACATGCGAATCCAATCCTCGGTAGATAAACATAAGGTCACATGTTCACATGACTCCCGGATCCTGATCCGCGCGTGTGTACTAGCTGATAAGGACTTGAGCTACTAATAGTGATGTGATTTAACTCTCACTCGATATTACTTTGCTACGGTAAATAGGGTTGTGCTGATGATGCGAACTCTTGTCATAATGTAATTCTAGGTCTTTGAGAGTTTTTGAATTCAAATTACACATCTACATACTATATTATGTGCTCGCCAATTCTTAGTAGCTACAAAATATATGCAAATGAACCTAGCTCGTTATGATGTTTGACATTGTCATGTAGCTAAAATATGTGTCTAGTTACAAAAGACATTATAATGTATTTTGGATTCCAGCACTGGAGCAGTGTAGGTACTTATCTAGGTATCGGGTGGGAGAAAAAACATCCATCAGGGCTGTCAACCTCTGCTTGAATACATTCTCAATCTCTTGATACGTACTTAGCCTCATCTATTTGAACATTGAGCAACCCTAGTGAGGTGCAAGTTGGAGCGCGACTGTTCCCCGAATCGTCACGTGACCCCGGGCGGCGGCAGCGGCGCGGGCGCAGTGGGCACGTAGCGTCGCGTTATTGTAATGCGTTGCGCAACATACCGCACCCCCCCACCCCCTCCCCGCAAGCTCTACCGCCTTCCAATGGCCAGCACTGCCCTCCTCTCGGGGTATTAATTTCAATGAACTCTAACTGTGACTTATTGGTTGAAATAAAGCACAAGCTTTAAAGGTATGTGGACTACTGCGCTTTATAGCATTCGCTTTGAAACTACCTATATCGAAGGAATGTAGCTAATCTTTTATGTATTATTGGATGGTTGTGTAAGTTCCTTTACAGGAATATGATTTCGAATTCTAGCTTAGAGCGCTCGCGGGAATCTAGCGCATCGAGCTCTTTTTGCTATCATTATGTAAACATTAACATCTTGGAACAAATTATGGGAAATCATTGACCGTCAAAGAAGATAAAAATATCTACATCGATTGTATTACAGGGAACAAATAGGTATGCATATAATTATAATTAATTATTATGGCAGAGCTGATGGTGGTGGATCAAATTGCACGTTCGTAACAATAAATTTGACATTGACAGCGCCTTTATTATCATAGGCGTAAGGTCAGTTTTGTAATTCGAGTGCCACTGTAACCGCTGTAAAGGTTTCCACTTTAACCCGAGATTAATTAGAGTGTAGGTTTATCCAATGGCATTGTTTTTACAATAATTACCATAGATAGTTTTAAAGAGTATAAGACACATGGGACATTTTGGGTAGGTACAGCTATACCTACATACATATCAATAGATTAAAACGGCAGAACTCACGTCTTCCCATAATAATAAATCAATATTTGATTCCATGGCAAAAACTCAATATCATTATATCGCGTTGCCCCTAAGTAATTTGTGTACCTTTTTAAAATACCGTAAGTTTATAAAAAAAATAGCCATATTTCAATTGTCTCTTATTGACCGCATTAGGTAATAAATGTAAAGCAAGAATCATCGAATAGTCTCGTCCTAAAAAGAAATATCGATTTTACGAGTTGGTACAACCTTAGGGAAATAGAAATAGTGTCATTATAACTACAATGCAAGCTGCAGTCAGTAGTCGGTATCAACTTGTCGTGTAGGAACATACAACATTTGAGTCCGTAGGTGTGTGCACGAGTGTTTACGACGCCTTCCTACAGTATGGTACCTGCGCAATAATGACGTTCACAGTTCAACGGAAAACTATAAAATGCATACATGGACGTTTTCCAGCGAAGCGCGGGTGATGAGGAGAGGCGCGGGCTGCGGGGGGACCCGCCCCGTCGACACACTTTCTGAAGGGCTCTAAAACTCCGGCTTTTGTGGCCACCTTTATGACCATCTATTCGTAGACCTTTTGATTTATTTAGCTGTTAAGACTAGCGTTTGAAGACAAAATAGTTGGCTTTTTAAGAGATGTGTTAGAAATCGTAATTACTATCAAGCTTCTTTTCATATGCATTCCGTTTGATTATATCCTTTTCATAGTGAGCTATAGCGGTACACCAAGGCTAATCGTGATAGACTCAGACAGCACAATGTCGCAGTAACGCTGTCATAAGTGTGAACATTGCCAAAGCAGGGATTTTCCACTTGGCTGCAGTCCATCCTAATCGCTTGCGGTACTGTGAGCACCAGCTTGCCAGCGAGGATACATTACACTCGGCTATATTGACACGCGTTATAATCTTATAGGAAACCGACCCTGTACAGTTACCGACCGCACTCACCACAAGGATAATCTTCGCTCGTTTGGTAGACGTTTTCATATTACTTATTAAACGACCAGCAACTTCCATGTCCTCAACCAACCATTTGGTGATATAGAAAACTATTTGACTTTCTTTGTAGACACTTCACAGATTTGCTTTTAGTTTGAAATGTAAGGAAGGTTGTAAAAGCCCTGTTAGTTCTTCAAACTAGGTCGCTTGCTACGGACGCTACGAATAATCCTTTCTTAAGAAATCCCTCATACATATACATAGATATGCACAAACCAAGATCGACCAGTACATATATTCTACATAATTAGCGTTTTAGCTTTCATGTATGATATTATTTTCTTGTTCGAGTTTGGTTCACAAAGTGCTCACCTACTTACAACAAACAATTGGTATCTACGCCGTTTAGGTATACAGTACTTTTGTGGAAGGCTGGTATCGGGATCCTAGCAGGCGACAAAGATAATCAATGTTCGCAGCGATACCCCAATTCGTAATCTTTATCTAAAAGTAAAAATGTTATCTGCACATAGGTGGGTACTTCATTTTTGGGTGCGTCGTATAGTTGACTGAACCATGAATACTGTTGCTTGATGCTGTAGACAATTTCATTTTCATAACTTTTAAATTGTTGTAAATGACTAACGAAAAGAAATTGTTCAATCATTTATTTTTATTGATTCTTATTGATCGAAGCAGGAAGACAAGATCCATATTTATTAGATGTTGTACTAACTTTTCAGTTAGTGGTAATGTAACTCAATATACTTAGTTTTTTGAAAAGTAAAAAAGTTAAAGGTTTTACAAGACCAGATTCTCGAACCCCTTTTCAGTAAACGATATGCTTCTTTGTCTTTGACGAAATTCAACTTAAGTTCATTTGATTTTAAGTCTATTTTTCCCTTTCAGGCTGCTTGATGAAGAGTATAGAGATGGTCGTGACAAGAGTTGTTACCAAAATGATAGGTTATCCTGACCTACTATGCTGAAACGCATTAGAACCCTTTGGACCCGCACGGAAATTGCATTGCTATATAATCATTTGGTTATTTCATGCAACAGAGGTATTGAGTATGTAAATAGGCTGAGATATTAATTGAACGGCTTATTACTTATGCATACATACTAAGTACTTATGTTTTGTAAGTACAACTTGTAGAATTAAATATGTAGAATAGATCAGTCCTTGAAGAGTGATGAGTAAAGGAAAGCTCAGCGAACGGAAGTAATCTTACAGCGGAGGTGCCGGAGGAGTGAGTTTACACGGGTGGATGTATAATCTAGCTAATTGTAGGTAGTTGTGAATAACATAAAATGCGATGCAGTTACGTTCGAACGCCGCTTCTTTGATGAACTACCGTAAACCGTAGCGATAGTTACATACTGCCAATCACAATGCGTTGAACATAAAGGAGGGAGAGGAAATAGGATAACGGTTTGCGCGGGCGCAGTGCGTCGGCATAGTCAGCGCACAAGAACTTCTCAATATCGCGAACCGTTCCCCTGTCTGCGACCAACAATGTATCATTAAAACCTCACCGTTACCGGAGGTCTGCCCACCCCTGCGCGCGCCGCCAGCGGCCGGCGAGCGCGGCGCTGCGCCGGCGCCGGGGACGTGCCTGCTCGCGCTGGCTGCTCGTAATGCCACTCGATGTCGCCCCGCCCGACGCTCCACCGTTCACAACTTTTTGCTATTGCAAATGGAAACTACGGAGACAGTGGGGTGAATCGAGGCCGATACACCGACGTTACACTACGATCTCAGAAATGATGTCGATTGTCAAGCGCGATTGGAGAAAACGTCATCAACTTGATGAACTACCAAATATATATGGATAATAACTTCTAAGAGGCTGCGAAAGGTCACAGCGCTAGCTTTACATAACATCCATCTATTCATACTTAGTAACTAGCGTGTATTCTCTCTTTAATTGCATATTACATCCATAAAGCTTTAGCACCAATGTAACAATATTGTTTTGTACCAAAATGACCAAGCAGCGCAGTGTTCCTGCTACCTCTGAAATAGTTGAAAGTATATGTGTATTGTATTACGTTACCGTAGCTTAGGTAACCTGTGCTGGGCGTTTTTAATATTATTAACAAGTTTTATAGTATTTTTTTCTATCTTTTTCCTTATAGCAGCGGAATTTAGATGCTTTTATAAGGAAAATATCAGGCTAGGCACGTGCAGCGCTTCCGGCTAGCCTCCTGAATATTTCTATTGGTCCCGTAACAAAGAAAGTAGTTTAAAAATAGACAAAATCAATCACGAGACCAGTGTGGTTTTGATTAGAACCGCTATACGTGTTACTCGGTCTATAAACAAAATATAGTAGACGATAATTTAGGTAGACTTAATAGACGGAGCTTTGGAAAGTCCCACACTAGTGCCTTTTGAGATTTAATTAAAAAAAAAAAAATGAAGAAGGTGTAGCTGGTGATTATAGAACTAATGAAGTTTGTATCAACAAATAAAGGTATTTGTATTAGGTTTTGAAACTGAATAGCCTCGATTGGATTCGTTTTCTTCATCTTATACTCCTCAGACTACAAAAAGATTGTCTTCATCAGATAGTTCATTAGACACTTAGCTACAACATTAGATGAAAGTAACTTTATAAAAAATTAAGCAGCACGTTCTTAAAAATATTTTAAGAAAACTGATCTAAAAGCTACCAATTCAAAATGTATTTCTAAAATAGCCAAGTGAATCTAAAATTAACGTACCTAAATATGGACAAAAAATTGTGGTTGGACTTATGCATACAATGTGATTCGAAGGTCGCAGTTGAAGTTGTCTTTGATGAATGATTGCCGGCGATCGTCTTTTTGCTTATGTTCGGGCAGTCATCACATCTAACAAAGGTAGGATTAGGATATTCGTTGAAGATTGTAGATGGGGCTAGACTAGTTTCTTGAGTTCCATTTGTACTCTCTGGAACTTCTGCGGCAGAGACCACGAAAACTTGGGAAACTAGCTTAGAGCTTCACTTCCTGTTTTAGAGTCTAAGTTAAGTCAAATTTATTAGCTTTGAATTCAGTTCTCCACCAAATATAAATCAGTATTACAGTCGGTTGAAACTTGAAATTGTTTTAGTTATACGAAAAGCAATATGATGCAAAATAACCATCATTTATTAAGCTTATAGACTACTCGTCCTAACGCTTAAAACTTAATAATAAGTTAAACATCGCCTTTCTAATTGTTTAGTGCAAAGGTACACTTGTGGACACTCAGTCAACAAACCATTAGAAGGAGAAAGGAGTCGGTCCAGACGAATTGTATACGAGCGGTAGGCGGTTATCGCATAACTACTGCGTCAGACATAATTCACGTCGTTATCAAATGACAAGACGCACAGGCTGGCCTTGAACTAGAGTGCTAACAGTCTAATACTAGACTATCTAATAGGTAGTTGTAAGGCGCTCATTGACAGGTTTGGTCGGCGACCGCCGTGGTGCCGTGGACAGCGCTACGGAAACACGGAGTGCACCATCGCTTGCGCAACCGAGCCTGCCCACAAACGTGTTGTTGCTCGGGGAAGACATAAAAAGAAATATTTTATTGGTCAGCCACACCGGTACGACCCAAAGTCTTGGGACTTGAGTACATTAGAGCGGCGTGGGCGCAAATGAAACCCATCATTGAAATGCCGCTGCATCGTAAAGCGCGAAACGGGATGTTTCTACATAACTTTATTGATCGATTCTTTAGCTTTGTTGTTAATTTACTTCAAATGGTTACGGTACATTTGTCTTTTAGAAAGGGGTGATTTGAGATCAATGAATGTATTCATCGAACCAAGACATTTCCCACCTGCCTAACGGAACTTTCGTGTATCTATTGACAGATAACACAGAATAGATGCGGTTTTCATTTAGCCCTTGAAGATGAGTGTGCAACCTACTACATAAATGTATTTCATTAACAGTTGAACATCTACATAGGTACATAATAAGTATGGTGAAGCTTTACTACTTTGATGACGCATACTTACCACTGGAAAAAAAAGTCAACGTATTTCGACAAACGAGACATCATCAAATAAGAATGGTGGCAGAAGTTTGTAGCTTCTTGGTTCTCGTCGATCTAGGTACGTACGTAGTGTTTTGTTAGGGTCCGACCAGACTTCCACGCGGATGAAAAAAAGCGTACAACAGTATTCACTTAGAAATATGAGATTACATAATTTTATTAACTATAGAAGATCATAGGATTAAGTTATCTATACTAATATTATAGAGAGGTAAAATTTTTAAGTTTGTATGTTTGTAAATTTGTATGTCAATAATAAGGGGGGTAATCTTTGGAACCGCTGGTCGGATTGCCAAAATTCTTTTACTGATAGATAGCTACAATGTTCCTGAGAGCTATAGGCTATAAAACATCACGCTACGATCAAATGGGGCCGAGCAGCGGGTAAAACCGCGCGATAGTAGCTAGTTTGAATATATTTGTATGAACGAATAACTATTTTCCACAATCGTCGTATAATCTGTGCTGTGACAGAGGCGTGCCCCGTACCGTCAGGGCCACGGACCGTTGCCACCGCACTCCTGCGCACGGCGCACGCACAATCCGTGTATCACACCGTGTTAGGAACCTTCCATTTGTACCGACTACATCTTGTAAATTATATCGTGAGAATTATTACTGCCATAAGATCCTGCTAATAATATCAGATCTGTACGTTACATATTTTAAGTCCTTTGTACAAAAAACTTACACACACATAATTTTACTATAGAAAATAATAAACGTGCCTACACAGTTATACTCAGTAAGGTAGTTTGAAATCAGGATGTCAGTTCTTTATCACAAGACGGTGGAACAGTCGTCACGCACGTGAATCACAGAGGGTACCTAACGATGAGGGTATGCCAGTGTCAAAGAGTACACTGATAGGGTGCTATGCCATGAACCATATAAAGGAGGGTAAACTGTCTGGCCCCATGTTAAACGCGCACTCGCGATAATTACTAAGGGAGGTCTGTTCACTCATGTTTACGGGTTTAATGCTGCTAAATACGTAGATAACCTCGGCGTGAACTTTGCTAAAATTTTGATAAATATGGCAAGGATAACGTTGGAATACGAAAATAAAATAATTTTGTTTAAGTAATTAACTTTGTTCATCACAGTCTTATAGGTATAGGTACTTTGTTTTCTGCTATTAGGAGTTTATGTCACATGACCCGTTCTCCCCAAGGTCGTGAATGAGCGACTTCATCGAGGTTACGGATTCCTACGTCGTACCTAGGTGCTGCAGCGATTATCGTGAGACATCAATCATTGCCAGTCGACCCACTTGTAGGGTTAGAAATACGTCGTCTCTATACATAACAGTAAAGCCAAATTAGTTAATTTGAAAACTAAATATTTGTGTGCAATTAACGATTACAGAAATAAAAGTTGATTCAATATTTCAACACATTTATAAACTTTATTTTTTACGATATATGTACTTACCTATGTGTATATAGAGTTAAAAAACCTGACCAAGGAAGAATCCTGATAGTTTATCCTAGTAAAAACACGATTTAAATAAAATATGAAACTGAAGGCGTTAAGAATACTCATTAAAAGTTTTGAATGCTCTAATGTAAGTAGGTACATAAGGTGGCTATGTAATAAGTACACGTATTTTGAGGTACAGTCGCCGCTTAGTTTACCGATGTGTTAGCGGGGACATCCAAATTTTGTACATGACGTCTATATTTAGTTGGTTCACGAACTAAGGAGGCTTGGTTGAAACAAAAAACAAGTTTTTTATTTAGGAGTTTACGATACAAGTTATGAAACATAAAGATGTAAATTTAATAACGTGGTAGGTATTTGCTTCTCAAAAATAAAGAACTTTACCGATGATAGGTTTGCAAAGTAGCAACCCTACCAGCTAAACGTGTCTAAAAAACCATGAAAAGAATCATTAAGAAGTATGGAACATAATTTTTTGTAGTGCCTCTTCACACAAAAGTACCACTCTTCGTAGCGAGATTATTTTCGTAGCTGTCGTAGTTAATGGTGGACTTAAAAAATCTTACGGAGTTTATATAACTGTCCAGTCGCGGTAATATTCACATGTACACAGTGCGAACTGTGTCGGTTGTTGGAAAACATGGCTTGTCGCAGGATACGTGAAGGTCGACCCGCCCACGTCGCCTCTCCGATGACTATGCGATCGCTACCTGTGTTCACTAGCCATCAGTATAATACTAATTAAGCCTTCATTAACGTTAGATTTATTATTCCTGAACGTATTATTGTCCCTCTGCGAATGTGTTGTTGTAGCGCAGTTCCGCTGTGCACTGCTAGGGGAAGAAATATGATGCGATTTTATATGTACTTACTTAGTTAAAATGCGTAAGTACTGAACTTCGGATTCTAATAGCCTTATAATATAGTTCATAATTAATTTTAACATTATTTTAGAAAATTATAACCAAGTACTTTGATTTAAATCGGAGACACGTTAAGATTTGTATTTGTGCAATCTACATATGTATATCCAATATTATAAAGAGGTACTTAAAATTTTTAAGTTTATAAGTTCGTATGTAGGGGGTAATCTTTGGAACCACTGGTCGGATTGCCAAAATTCTTTCACTGATAGATAGCTACAATGTTTCTGAGTCCTATAGCTGAGGATAGCTATAATAAATATA